AAAAAAAAAAAAGAAAGAAAGAAAAAGAAAAGAAAGCAAACACTGATGTAATAGTACTTTCTAATTTCTAATTCATAGTCACAGTTCTCTATTTATACTAATAAATAGAGAAATGTGACTATAGTTCCTTGTGGCTTTTTTTTCCAACCTAGGATTCAACCTCAGGATCATGTATTACATTTAGTGGTCCCTCTCATTAGAATTTTTTCATCTAGAAGAGTTCCTTAGTCTTGTTTTTCATGACATCGACATTTTTGAAGAAGACAGACCAGTTGCTTTGCAGAATTATCTTCATTTGGATTTTTCTATTTCCTAATAATGAGATTCATCTCAGACATTTTGGGCAGGAAAATCAGAGAGGTGATGTTGTGTCCTTCTCAGCCCATCATAGGGATGCAAAATGTCAGTTTGTTTCATTGTAGGTGATGTTAAATTTTATTATTTGGTTAAAGGTGATGTCTGCCCCATTTCCCCATGTAAAGACACTTTGCCTCTTTTTAATGAATAAGTAGTCTGTGATAATTTGAGACCACATGAAGCCAACGTTTAAACCCAAATATTAATAGCAATTGTTGTTTTAAATGTGAAATAAAGACCACTCTCTCGGAAAGAGGTGAAGCCAAGGCCTCAGTCACTTAGGTTTCTGGGTTTCAGCCTTCCTAGAGCAGGCCCTGTTGGTGTTAGAGGAGAAAACAGAGGGATAGGGTAGAGTGTGCTTTATGGAACGCTACCATCAATCCTGATACCCTCTGACTTCCATCTGGAAGGTAGCACCTTGTACTTTAACCCTGAGGAGGGAATGTGATCATTGACTCTGCCTGGCAAAACTGCTTTGTGGTCAGAAATCTGTATCCAACAATCTCATCAGCTTTAAAGCTGAGATCTCCCTAGTCATAGCCTTCAGACTGGGGGTGGAAGCAGTTGGCAGCCTCTCCAGTCCTCCTTACATCTCAGGATTTCATCCACAAAATGAGAATAAAAACAATCACCACTCAGTTCCCCCCAGTTCTTGGCAATTTTCCAAATGAACTGCCATGATTCTAGCCAAGAGTCATGTCATTTTGGCCATGGGAAAGAGCAGGTCCCTGCTGCTAAGCAGGACTGGAAAAGTGAGACAACCTGAGAATGAGTGGAATAAACCATCTTGGTGTTAGGATGATTTATTAATAATAATAAACCACTCTGGTTTCTCCCTTCTAGCCACAATACACTGACCAGCTCTTCGTGGCAGTCTTTACAGAGGTCCATCAACCAAGTTAGAAGAGAGTTTCCTTCTCCTTCCTGCTGATTTCATTTTCTTACACAGGCTTTTTCCCCTTTTGTTTTTAAAGATGATGATGCCCCGCCCCAAAATGTGACCTCACCACTGGATCTTCTACCCCCGATTAAAGGAAAAAAATGTCCTGCAAGCCAGAAGGGACTGGACAGCCCTAGGACATCAGGCTACAGCAGCCCCCCAAGTCTACCGAATGTGAGAGCACCCAGGAAGGCACTGCCAGCAGGTCAAGGTAATCATTCCCAGCGTGTATGGATGCCCCCCCCATTGGCCTGTATGTTGCTCATTTCCAGGGCCGTGTGGCTGCTGTGATGTAAGTTTTCTAAAAGGCACTCCATTGGAAAGGGGTAATCAACACTGTTTCCGATGAGTCGGTGGGATTAATGTTCTCCGTGCATATTCCTAAAGGGTCAGTACATGTTTTAACGGTTTGCTGCACCCACGTGTACTGCCATGCTGTTTTGTGCTTTCCTCACTCCTGGCAGCAGCATTTGATGACATAGCTCCCTGCGCTTCAGCGGGAGGCATGCTACTGGATTTACTAGGCATACTCCACACTGAGCCATAGCCCTTGCCCCATGAGGCAAGAGAGCCCGATGACACTGCCAGCAAAAGAGTCCTCAGACAGAAGTCAACTCCAGCCAGGGTAGAGCCTGTTCATGGAGAGGGAAGGACGCTGATTTCTGTAGTAGGGTGAGTCAGGGCAAGGCCATTCCCTCTAGGATTTAGCCCCACTAAAAGTGCTTATCCTTAAGGAGCGGATAGTCAAGGAGGTGAGTAAGACGCTTATACAGAGCAATAATGCAAGGACAGTGCAACAGCAGCCCTGGGCTTCCATCTAAAATAAAGGTAGCTCATAGAGCAAAAATTACTAAGAGCCCAAGTTACCTCTGAAAATCCCTGGGAGGGTGCCATGCTGGAGACTGAGACCATTTTCAGGAACATGTGGTCCAGGCAGCTGTTTCTCCTTCGTTCAAGGCGTGGGCTGCTTTCTCAGTTTGAGCACCAGATGAAGATGACATGTGTTTGGGGGACAGACTGTATAAAGAGGTATCTCTGTTAACAGCAGAATCACACTCAGGGCTGCGAGAAACTCACACTTTGAGAGGCACATGGGAACAGAGCGCCATCACAGAGGCAACAGATTTCACATCTTTCATTTCGTGATCACTCAGAGACAGAATGCCTCAGTATTTAAATCAGTCTCGCTTGCTCTCTCTCCCCCCCGGCCTAGCACACCCCCATCTCATTCTCTCCCCAAAGCATATATAGTTGAATTCTTTAAGCATAAATTAAATTCACAGATTAATAGTTCCATTCTGTGTTTGCAGCTCCTGTTTCAGGCTGAGATGGCCACAATTAAAACCCTTCCTTCCCCCCAACGCTCTCTATCCCTAGAGACGTTGTTTTCACCTAGAAATCATTCCAGGGTTGGAACCTCTCTTTCACAATCCCCTCCCCTCTATACTTATGTGGCAGTAATGCCCTTTTGATACAAATGAACCAAGCTTGGTGTACTGTTATGTCCCCACCTGGGGCATTCCTAGGAAGTTGCCTGGCCTGGGACAAATCACAGCAAATGGATACTCACACCTACTTTAGACATCCTTATAAAGGGAGAATCTGGTGAAAATAGAATGCCAGGCAGGACCAGGACTGTGACAAGAGAGCAGCCTGAAGCCTCAAGTGTGTGTGTTGGGTGTGTGCATGTGTGTAAGTGAATGTGTGTGGGATGTGTGCTTATATGCCCATGAGTACGTGTGTGCTTGTGTGCATGCATGCACAACTGTGAGTGTCATTGTGCACCTCCATATGTATGTCTGCATATGCACATGCATGTCTATATATTCAGTCCTATGAATGTGTCATGTTCATGTATGTCATTGTTCATGTGTGCAGCTGTGTGTGCAAACTTGTCCTGTGTGTACATATGTGTGTGCCTGTGTGACTATGTCAGTGTGTATGTTTGTAAGTGTGCATGTGTATGTGTGCACTCCTTAGCATCCACTCTAGCCGGTGTTCTGCTAGTCCAGGTAGCTGGACTCCTGGCCTCTTAGTCTTGGAAATGGGGAAGGTAAATGTAGTATAATATGAATAAATGTGGTCTGCCCCTGGTTTCTATTCCTAAGCTAAAACTGGAATTTTCTGAATGATGGTAGTATCTTTTGTTATTCATAAGTCCCTTTGAAAACACTTGAGTTTATGCTAATGAGGTGACATAGGGTAACACCTGTAGGTAGCCTTCTGATGGGGCCAGTGACCAGAAGGACCAAGTGATAAGAGGATTCGAAGATTGGAGCTGCTAGCCACAACCTCCAGGAAAGGGGAGGGGGCACTGGAGATCAAGCTCTTTATTAGGTTTTATAACCTGAGTTGAAAAGCTTCTGCTGAGCACATCTAGGTGCTGGGAGGGCAGCAGGCCCAGGGAGGGCACGGAATCCCTGCACATCCTCCCCACGCCTTGCCCATCTCTTCACCTGACTGTTCACTATATCCTTTCTAATGTACTTTAAAAATAAGCCAGAAAAAGCCAGTCGCGATGGCTCACGCCTGTAATCCCAGCACTTTGGGAGGCTGAGGCAGGTGGATCACTTGAGGCCAGGAGTTCAAGACTAGCCTGGCCAACAAGGTAAAACCCTGTCTCTTTAAAAATAAATAAATAAATAAGCCAGAAAATATAAGTTAAGTGTTTCCCTGAGTTCTGTGAGCTGTTCTACCAAATTGTTGAACCCAAGGAAAGGGATGATTGCGGGAGGCCCAATTTATAGCTGGTTGGTCAGAAGTCCAGGTCACAATCTGGGACTTGCAATTGGCACCTGAAGTTGGGGGGCAATCTGTGGACTGAGCCCTGCCCTGTGGAATCTGACATCATCTCCAAGTAGAGAGCATCAGAACTGAATTAAATTATAGGACAACCAGTTGGCATCTGCTGGAGAATTGTTTGGCATGGGGGAACCCCCACAATCTAGTACCAGGAATGTTCTGGGTTGAGAATTGGAATTAGAGTTGGGGAAAAATTACTTGGTTTTTTTTTTTTTTTTTTGAGACAGAGTTTCACTCTTGTTGCCCAGGCTGGACTGTAATGGTGCGATATCGGCTCACCACAACCTCTGCCTCCTGGGTTCAAGCAATTCTCCTGCCTCAGCCTCGAAGTAGCTGGACTACAGGTGCATGCCACCATGCCTGGCTAATTTTTTTTGTATTTTCAGTAGAGACAGGATTTCTCTATGTTGGTCAGGCTGGTCTCGAACTCCTGACCTCAGATGATTTGCCCACCTCGGCCTCCCAAAGTGCTGGGATTATAGGCATGAGTCACTGTGCCTGGCCATGACTTGTTTTTTACTTTTATAGTCAGGTTATAAAAACACCTTCAATCTTTCTAAGTAACTAGGGAGACAGTATCCTCCTCCTTGACCTGAGCCTCTGGCATCACCAAGCCATCCCCGTATTTCATCTAGAGGATATGGCCATGTATGCTGAGTACTGAACAGGGCAGTAGAGGCAGGAAGCAGGAAACCCTGTGCCCAGCGGCAGAACTGTATATAGCTGGAGGAAGGGGCTCCCTTTCCTTCACACAGAGTGCCCCTCTGTCTGAGCCCAGCCCCTGAGATAGCCAGGCTCTCCCAAAGACATGATGTAGGCAAGTGGCAGCCCCTCCCTGTTCACCCCACCTTGACCCTTGGAAGCCAGGGCCTGAATAACAGCCCCACTCTGCTGAGTCCTAGGGGTAGGGCTCACCCTAAACTCTGGTGGGCACCCAAGCACACAGGTATCTATGGGTGTGTGCCTGCAGGGGACTAGGGTAACACGGCCTAGGTTCAGTCTGTCTCCCTCACCAGCACTCTGCTGACAGCGCCTATGCTTGTGCTTATTTTCAAGATTCCAGCAACCCCACACTGGGACACTTCTTGCTGGGTCCAGATGGAGAAAAAGTCCGCGCATCCCTCCCAGGGTCTACCCAGACTGAGGTGTTTCCATCCGGTAAAGGTAAGCTAACACATTCCAGGGCAGCCTTGGTTTTTGTTTTTGTTTTTGTTTTTTTGGTTTTTTTTCCCAAAGGAGAAGATGTTACCTACAGCTTCCAAATTTTCCCAGCAGCAGAGACATCATTAAAAACAGACGTGAGTCAGCCAATTTCTCCCCTTTCACCAACACAGAGGTGCTTCTGTCACTCAGATACAATGATCCAATGTTTGCATAACAAGTTTACTCCTGCTGGAGCATTTGGAGAGAGAAGTTCCAATGGAATGGCTTGGAAGAGGTCTGATGTGCCGCGCTGATGCCTTGATGAGAATGATAAGTCCTCTTGGTATTTGCCCAAACTAAACACTGCCTTTCTCTTCTTTCCAACCACCCTGCCGAGGTGGAGGTGGCTAATTGGTAATCCAACCAGGTACCCTTGTTATGAGCATTGGTTCATCCCTGTGAATCATCTGGCTCCTGACAGATAGCAAGGCAGTTTCCAAAAACCCTTCTGGCATGTTCACTTTTTAGAAAAGAGATGCTGACTCTGGGCAATAGCCATTTTGCAAAGGAAAAAAGAAATGAAGTCAGAGGGTGATGAGCATCAACCACCCAGAAACCACCGTGAGATGCATGCATGAGTCAGCAGCCAGCAGGCCCCTTGATGTGGGAGATTAAAAGCTGCACTTATTTGGGGGGTTACATCATGACTGGCTCAGTAAAAAGAGGATGGAGTCAGAGCTAGGAGATTTGAGGAGCTCTGGCTTTGCCTCTAAGTTGCCAGATGACTTTGAGTCAGTCCCTCATCCTCCCTGTATCCAAGGTTCCTCAACCAAAATGAGAAGACTGATTCCTCCCCTGAGAAATTCCTTCACCATTGCTTCATTTTACATCTTGTGTCTGTTGCTATCGAAGTAGCCACCTAGTATATGGATTTCCGGAAAGTAGAATGTATTTGATTCCAAATTCAGCATCAAAGAACTTCCATCAGCACTTGGTTTATACCATGTTATGAGCATAAAAATATCTTGGTTCTGAATTGGTAGAAGCAGGAGTTAGACAGGTGGAGGCCACTGTCAGCATGACACAGCTGGTGCAACAGCTGGAAAGCAAAATGATTCTGCTCACCTGCTGCACATTTGTCCACTCTGCTCCAGGAGAAATAGTTCCCCCTTTTGGCACAGTGGAAGCTAGAAGCAGAAAAGGAAATATTTAGGCTGTAAGTTTATTGTCACCATCGTCAATATGATGCTTCAGTCATTTCAGTATCCCTGACACCTAGCATAGTCCCTGACATATACCTAGAAGGATCACAATAAATGTTCATCAAAACGTTTTGAAAAATCTTTTAATAATTTCCATGACATGGAGAGAGAGAAAGATGAAACTTACACTGATAAATGAAGACTTGGCTGCCACCTTGTCCCAGTCCCATGGATAGTATATTTAATCCTATTTGCCTCTCAAACCTAAAGGTATTCACTGCGTGCTCATTGAATTAATGAATGAATGAATCAGTTAGCTGCTGACATCTCTCAAGCCTTTCCACCATGGGCAGTTGGTTGACCTTCAGTCTTGATGGTGATAGGATGCTGCCCAAGAAGGTGGTGAAAGATTGTCCAGGCGCAGTGGCTCACTGTAATCCCAGCCCTTAGGGAGGAGGCAGGTGGATCGCCTGAGGTCAGGAGTTCAAGACCAGCCTGACCAACACAGTGAAACCCTCTCTCTACTAAAAATACAAAAATTAGCTGCGCATGGTGGTGGATGCCTATAATCCCAACTACTCAGGAGGCTGAGGCAGGAGAATCGCTTGAATTTCTTAGAGAGACAAGATGGAGGTTGTGGTGAGCCAAGATCATGCCATTGCACTCCAGCCTGGGCAACGAGAGTGAAACTCCATCTCAAAAAACAAAAAAAAAGAAGTTGGTGTAAGATCCCAAATCCACATCTTCCTACAAGGGAGGGTCTAGCTTTCTAGTTTGTTGCTGTTTGTGTCTTAATGAGCAAAGATTTTTTTGGTTTGGCCTTTTTTTTTTTCTTTTTTTTTGGTTTGATTCAAGAGACAGCATACTGAAAAAGTTTTTTCCTCTCCCAAAGTATTAGGTTGGTGCAAAAGTAATTGCGGTTTTGCAGTTACTTTTAATTGCAAAAACCACAATTACTTTTACACCAACCTATAATTGCTCCAGCCATACCAAACTCTTTGCAGATCAGTTTATTCAAATCCATCTTAATCACTGTCTCCACCCTCCATTTCCAGTCTCATCTTCTGCTATATTCCAGCCCACCCTTTACTCATCTCTTTGATGGCCTAAAAATTCAGACTTCATTCTTTTCTCTCTAAACTTTTGCACAAGTTGCCCCCAAATATTTAGAATAGCTTTAAGTTCATCTTTTCTGGAACATTTTCCATAATAAATCCACCTCATTGCACATAACTGCCTAGACGTAGCCTCAGCCCCATTCCTCTCTCTCTCTCTTTCTCAATCCCACTTTTGTGGTTATTGCATTTAACTGCATCTGTTTTCTGTTTAGCTTCCAATATATGAGTCCTAGAGAACCTCTCATCTCTATCATATGTCCAAGAAAAGCTTCTTGATTGACTGAATACCCCAGGTGCCACAAAGGAAAGCTCTTTGGGGATCATAATTGTTGTTGGTTTTTTGTTTTTTTGGTTTTTTTTAATTAAAAAAAAAAAGCCTCTTGAGTAAAGGAAGGAGTATGATCTGTCTGATCTTTCTGAGACTTCCCGGCTCCGTCAACAACTATTTGGAAATAAATTCTTAGGCAATTAGATCATGATATCTCGCTTTCAGACAGCATAAGGAAATGAATATAAACCTTCAGAAGAAAAAAAAAATCTGAAGACTAGAGCTGGAATTTGATCCTTTTGGTCATGTTGGGATATTGCAACACTTAGAAAATTGAAAGGCTTGAGAAAGGAAAAGTTAACTTGGAAGGATACAAGTCAAAACATTGGATATGCTCTCCAAATTGCTTATCCTTGATTCAAATCCTTCATCTATTCCCCTAGTCACAGTGCCAGCAATAGAACTTTTCTCTTAGAAGTTCTTTTATTCAGAAGTTTGTTTTACAAAGAAGTTCAAGGATGTTTACACCAATATTTCAGGTTGGGCTTCAAGTCCTATGTAAATTTAAATTCCTGGTCTCTTTCAGAGTTTTTATTTAGTATTTGTTCTTATCCTAGCTAGATTTTTACCCTCAAAAGGCTTCTTGGGTTTTGTCGTTGTTGTTGTTGTTGTTGTTGTTGTTGTTGTTTAGACAGGGTCTTGCTCTGTCACACAGGCTGGAGTGCAGTAGTACAGTCATGGCTCACTGCAGGCTCAAACTCTTGGGCTCAAGCTATCCTCCCACCTCAGCCTCCCAAGTAGCTGGGGCTTCAGGCATGAGCCACCATGCCTGGCTTTTTTTCTTTTTTTTTTAAAGATGAGGGTCTCCCTATGTTGCCCAAGCTGGTCTCAAACTCCTGGCCTCAAGCAATCTTCCCACCTAGGTCTCTCAAAGTGTGGGATACAGGCATGAGCCACTGCACTCAGTCTTTATTGTTTGTTTGTTGTTGTTTGTCATTTAATTAGCATCCTTCTCCCTTGCAACTCTTTCTTGGTGTTGTGGTTTCAAAATATGTCCACAAATTCTTTGACACTTCTCCCTTCAAAAGTGAGAAAGTAACTCTTCTCCTCTTGAGTGTGAGTGGGATATGATGGCTCACTTCTAAATAAGATAGACTATGGCAGAATTGATGGTATGTGTCTTCTAAGACTGGATCTTAAAAGCACCAAGGCTTCCTTCTCGTGCGCTGTCGCATGCTCTCGCTCTCGCTCTCTCTCTCTCTCTCTCTCTCTCTCTCTCTCTCTCTCGGGTTACTGGGGAAGGCCAGCTACCATATCTGTGATGAGGCCACTCAAGCAACCTATAGCAAGCAGTCCACATGGCAAGGAACAGAAGTCCCGTGTTATCAGCCAGAATTAACTTCCCAGGTTTGTGCGGGAGCTGCCTTGAGAGGAGATTCTCCAGCCCCAGTCAAGTCTTCTGATGACTGCATCCCTAGCTGACATTTTGTCTGTTACCTCACAAAAGAATGCACCAGCACCACACAGCTAAGCCACTCCCAGGTTCCCACAGAAACCAAGACACAACAAAGGTTTATTGTTTTAGGTTTCAGGATAATCTGTTTTGCAATAATAGATAACTGTATTCTTGGTGTCATTTTGTGATGGTCTGTGATTTGGCTGACAGACAGATGAGTCTACGAATATCTCAGTTGGTCTCAAAACACTAATCATTTAGGGGTAAACATAGGCTACCCCTATGAGTAACTGACTTTGTCTGTTCTCCCAATTTTTCCTTTGTGATAAGTTGGTTGTAGGACCCCATGGGTAAAAGAATCCTTCTGTGTTGGTGGGATATTGTTTAAAGCATGATTTTCTTTAAGTAGCCCATCTCTTAGTAGCTGTTATCTTGTTGATGATGCCTAGAGATGTCTGGGAGGAGAATTAATTTCGATAAAGCCATGTGAGGAAGAAGAAAAAACTATAGTTTTATTCCCAGCTCTACTGCGTGGGGTTTCTGTGATCATAGGCAAACAATTTCATTGCCTTGGCCCTCAGCTTCCACATATGGAAAAAGAGGAGTTGGTATTAGATCCAGTCCTCACAGCACATGTCCTGTCGAACTCCAATTCCTCAGAAGGTTAACAGGCATTGTGTAAAAAAGGAAAGGTTCTAGGGTCAGATACATCTGGAAACCAGTGGACCAAAGTTAAGCAGATTTCTTACCGCAGGACTTCCTAGTGCCTCCGATATGCTGATGTGCATCATGGTTCTTCAGGATGGGAATATGCACTGTTTCCCAAACTGATTTGATCACTGGATGCTTTTGATTTTGGTAAAGCATCATGTGGATCTAAATAGGTTTTGGCAAACTTTGGAAAATGCTAAACTGATGATTTCCAAGGTTCCTCTAACATTACATATTTCTAAATATGCCCCTTTCCCCAAGGAGAC